GGGGGGGGGGGGGGGAAGCAAATGCCCGAATATGAAGCAAGTAGTGGCAGCATGGAGTCGCCTCATCTGCTCTGCCCAGCTCCACAGGGCCCCTCAAAGCGCAGGGCCCAGGGTAGTCACACCAATTCACTGCCCCCAGGGTTGGCCCTGGGCAGGCAGGATGGGCTTCACTGGGCTGCACGGTCAAGCAGCAGGGTCTTCACTGGGCGGATGGCAAATTTTCAGGTGGCTGCAGCCTCCCCATGGCCCGCAGTCTGCCACCTGCTCCCCCCCTGCAATGCCCTGCTGCTGCCTGCCCAACCAGGGCAGGGTGGGCACTGGACAAAGCTGTGGAGAGGTGGGGGCCGCTTTTCTGCAGGTAGCACAGCAGCTCCACTTCACACCCCTCCGGCCCCAGCTGGGCAGGCAGCAGCAGGTCATGGGGAGGGTTGTGTGCCTGCGGAGAGGGGGCATGGGGAGGCTGCAGCCACCTGAAAATTCGCCATCTGCCTGGAGTGTAGTCCAGTGCAGGCAGCCTGGCCCTCCCGCACCACCCTACCCCGTGCATATCCGAAGACACATGCCTCCCCACGTCCTCCTGCACCAGCAGCAAGAGCAATGGCACAAACTGCCGGTGGAGAAGTCACACAAGCAGCTCGCTGCAGCGGGAATCTTTGCCTCTCCCTCTCCCTCCTCATGCCTGCCCAGCCCTGGCTGGGCAGCACTTCTTACCACAGTCCCTCCCTCACCATGGGGAGCGCTGATCTGCCCCCCATGCACCTTCCCTTCCCCCACAACACAACCAGACACACCAGCTGCAGGCTGCTGCATCCAGCATCTTAAAGAAACCAATCTCCTGTTTGTAATGCTGCTCCTGAGGGAAAACTGGTCCTGACTCATGACCTTTTGACTTGATGTGGTTTTCAAGTCTGAGGCTGCCTGCACACGGCCTTTGTACCAGCAGTATGTGCTACATATATACCAACCAATGCTCCAGCCAGGCCTAGAGACAAGGGCGGTTGATGAACTGCAGTGAAGGCCACACGAGTGCGACTCATTACCCTCATATTTTAATTTTTAAAAAAGCCACATGACAACAGTGGGGCATCCCAGGGAGGAGAGCCGGGCTCCGCCTCTCCCGGTAGTGGAGTGGGCTCCCAGCAGGCTCCGCAGCACTTCGGAGTGCCGGCGGGGCCCTGCCCAGGCCCTGGGGGGCGGTTAGAGGGGACCCCAACGAGACGGGGCTGCACCACGTGGCTCCCTCCGCGCGGACGAGCGGCCCGGGCCGCCCCTAAGCCTGGCGGGAGAAGGCACGTGAGGCCGAAGGAGCGAGTCCCGCCGCCGCTGCCCCCCCGGGCCCGGCCCCTCACTGACCTGCCGGTGCGCCAGGAAGGCCTCCCACAGGTAGACGGCCCAGGAGAAGAGCAGCACAGAGCAGAAGATCCGCTTCTCCACTGGCAGCTCGGCCCACAGCTCCCAGGGCAGCGGCAGGGCCATGGCTGACCCGCGCAGCCGGCGCCGCTTCCGGCTTCCGCCCGCGGTGCAGCCCTCACACTAGTCCGGCCGCGCTCGCTCTGCCCCGCGTCAGCGTTAGCGCCACAGCCACCACTTCCGGCCCGTGTCATTGCGAACCGGCTCCCCGCCCTCGCCCCACTTCCGGGGGGGTTGCACCCAAACGCTTCCCCGCGCCAGCGTGGCCAGGCACGATTGTGACCGTGTTCGTAGGATCACTGCAACCTTAACACTCGATGCGTGTCACAGGGTTCAAAACGCACGGTCGTTTTTGAGGCAGGTAATTGATGCAGTATACGTATATGGAAAACCCAACCCCCAGAACTCAGGAAGCCTTAACCAGCTTCTGTGCTTGCTGCCAGGGCTCTCAAACTGATCTGGAGACAGACAGACAAAGATGCAGCAAAGTGGAAGGAGATTGTATGAGATAGGAGGAGACAGGCTGCTGCAGTAAAGCGGTTATAGGCCCCAGAGGCTTGGGGGAGGGGGTTGAAAGTTCATCAGAGCTACAATAAGCAAGCCTTTTGTGGTATGGTATTGGACACAAAGTGCCCTTCCTCAGGTCTGGAAACTGTGCTTCTAGATGGGAGGAATGGCACTTTGCATCCAACAGCTCACCTAATATCTCCCCCAACTATTCAGATCAGATAGATACAATCAATACAATCCCTCTGCTCATCTGGCAGAGGGAGACAATAGTCAAGTGATAAGAGTAGACAAAGAAACAAAGCATGGAAATTTGTCGTCACCATAGGCAGGAGAACCTTAAAGGATATTTATTATTTTCTCTGCTGGAAGTGTCAAGTCACATTAAGATGCTGAGGGAGACATCTGATGAAAACAGCCTGAAAGCCAGCTGGAAGAAAGGAGATCCAAAGCATATTCATAGATGCTAGGGTCAGAAGGAACCTCAGTAGATCATCGAGTCTGACCCCCTGCCTAGGCAGGAAAGAGTGCTGGGTCAGATGACCCCAGCCAGATGCCTCTCCAGCCTTCTCTTAAAGACCCCCAAGGTAGGGGAGAGCACCACCTCCCTTGGAAGCCCATTCCAGATTCTGGCCACCCTTACCATGAAGAAGTTTTTCCTGATATCTAGCCTAAATCTGCTCTCTGTCACTTTCTGACCATTGTTCCTTGTTACCCCAAGAGGCGCCCTGGTGAACAGAGCATCTTGGATCCCTTGCTGCGTTCCCCTAATAAATTTGTAGGCAGCCACAACATCACCTCTCAGCCTTCTCTTGCAGAGGCTGAAGAGGTCCATGTCCCTCAGTTTCATCTCATAGGGCTTGTTCTGTAAGCCCCTAACCATACGAGTGGCCTCCTCTGGACCCTCTCGAGTCTTATCAACATCCTTCTTGAAGTACAACACCCAAAACTGGACACAGTACTCCAACTGTGGTCTGACCAGTGCTGCACAGAGGGTAAGTATCACCTCCTTGGATCTATCTGTCATGCATCCGCTGATGCATGACAAAGTGCAGTTAGCTTTGATGATGATTTCGTCACACTGACGACTCATGTTCATCTTGGAGTCCACTATGACTCCGAGATCCTTTCTGCTTCTGTGCTGCTGAGAGGGTCACTTCCCAGCCACCAGGTGTGCTGGATATTTCTGCGCCCTACGTGCAGCTGTAGAAATTTATTAACAAGATCATAAATAATAGTGTAGCTTCTACAGCAGAGTCAGCCTTCAAGGACAGGCTGATAAGACTCTGCAATGACTGAATCCTATTCACTTTGAAGTCTGAAGTAAGTTTCCTCCCTATTAGTTACCGTTTCAAAACAAACATGTAGCCAAAAACCAGTTTTGAAATAATTAAGAGTTTTCCCACACTGACCTGATATTCACAGTGGAAAATTCCCACCTGCGCACGCATCTTGTCTGTAAACTATAAATCGCCTCTAACAGTTTTATTCGGGGCCTCTGAGTTCGCTCAGGGTGCCCAGCATGCTGAATAAATTTTGAGATTGACAGCGACTCTGTGTCTTTGGGAATAGCTCCGCAAGGGGTCATGAACTCCTCAACACAGCACTCTGCACTTGTCCCTGTTGAACTGCATCCTATTGTGTACTGCCCACTAGGGCTGCGCAAAACGGCACCATTCCATTTCACCTTCAGTTTTGATGGTTCAATGGAACAGCGTTCTGTTTCGAATTTCATTTTGATTTGAAACAGCTGTTCTGTTCCGTTCCTCAAAACTTAAAGGCTGTTTTGATGCTATTTTGACTTTCGCTGGGTTTGGGGAGTCAGTCCCGCCCCCCTCCCCCAAATCACAGTGGGGCGGTTGGGAGTGAGTCCAGAGGGGCTGACTCTCCGCCCCACCCCATATTGGAGAGAGGTGAACTGCTGCTCAGCTTCAGTTGATCAGATTGCAGACAGAATAAACAGAGTATCCACAAAACAGACAAAAACGACAGGCTTCCATACTACGAGTGGACAGGACATTCCCTCGGAAGCACAAGAGGAAGGGAATCTAATAAGATTCTGAGGTTAACTGAAGAGACTGCTTGTGTGGTGATTAAGGAACTGAACAAGAGATGAATAGCTAGATTATCTTCTCAGAAACCCACCGTGCTTTCAGGAAGGAAGCAGAAAATACTGGAAGTAAAGTGCTGGTTAAGTAGCATAAGGACCAGGTTCTAACTTTATGAGATGTTGGAATACCTGCTATGGAGAGAGGGTACTATATGATTCTGATGGCTTCCATCTTAGTTGTAGGGAAACAAGTCTCCCGGGTGGCAGATTAACTAGGGTGGCAGGAGGGCTTTCCACCTACCTTGAACGGGGAATGTAGTAACAGCGCATTCATGGTACAGGCACTTAAATATGTAAACTAGCTTCAGGGTGCCAGCCACATGATGAATCTAAGCATTAAGGGGCACATGAGAAACATGTTTCGAATGGTCTCTATGCTTTTGCTAGGAGCATAAACTAGGAGCTGAAAATGCACATGGAAAAAAGAAATTAAATGATTGCTGTGACAAACTTGATGAGATTGAGCATATGACTGCAACATTAAATCAATGGTTAAAAACTTGCTCTGTAAGGACAGAATAGGTCAGGGGAGTGATACTTCACATCCAAGATACTTTAGCTGTTACAGATGCATAGATAACTTACAGTCATAGGACCTTGAATGTTTACTGATATAAAAAGTTCTAACTAGTAAAACTAAAGATAAAGTGCTGTTGTGCACCTGCCACAAACAATTAGATCTTGCTTGAGTACAGCATGACATATCTGTAATATGTTGGAAGAAAATCAATGTTATAAATGCTTCAAATGGAAGATGCCTGCTGGACATTTAATGTTTCAGAAACCAAACTCTCAGAAATTCTAAAAATAATCATTATATACGTACTTAGCACAGAAAAATCCTGCACATAACACACATTAACTCAGGCTAGTGGACAAAGAAGAGTTAACAGTTGTTCCATAAATGTACTGTTGCTATTTAACTTTTGGAAATAGAATACGGCATCAGCCGCTGACAGGCAGGCATGCAGCTCGACTCTTGAACAACCATCCTCCAGTCAACCACGCTTTGCACATTGTTTCTTCAGAATACTTCCTTCCTAGTCAAAGTCCTATAAAGCAGGGATGGCCCAAGCTTTTTTCTCTGCAAGCCAGATGGACAGTGCCAGCTCCACCCACACACCACATCCACCTGGTGGGCCTAAACTGGTGCATGGGGGGAGA